AAAAAAGAGTTGGAGACATGGCATTTGGTGATAACAATCGTAACAGGAAATGATTTATCCTGGAGGAAGTGTTCTATAAGTTTGACGGTTCTGTTAGTAAAAATGTGTCAGCAGAGCTTGGTAACTGATGAGTTTGGAAACATTTTGAGAGCAATTTTTTCACCAGCTCTGGCAGGCTTTCTCGCTTTAAGGTGTAAATTCTTTCATTGCTATGACTATCAGTCAAGTGTGGGATGAGTTCAGGAACGTTCTCATCCCTTGGAAAGGGACTGCATGCTCTGCTGCTTTTAATGTTTAAGTTCCAAGTAATGGATGTCAGAAGCTTGGAAGGAAAAACATAGGAAAACATCACTGCTATTACCCTTTCCAGGTTAGCTGATCCTGCAGATTTAACCTCTGAAATTGAAGAACTCTGAATTAACTCAGTTGTCGGCAAAAAAAAGGCATTCCTTTGTGTGTGACAATAATTGGGATTTGAGGCCTATTTTGTTCCATCATCACTGCCCTCTTTCAGTATGTGAACCTTGCTCTGCCTTACATGCAACTGTTCTGTTGCTTCTGGTAAAGGCACTGTCTAAACCTTTGGTGATGAGCATGTTTTTGGGCTAAGTTCAAAAGATTAAGTTGTTCAGGAAAGTAGCAGGGGAAAATGTGAGGGCAGATTTTTACCTATAATTTTTCATAAGAACTGGATGTCCCCAAGACATTAATTAGATTTTAATTTTTTTAAAATACAAAGGAGTTTAATTTTTCATTTAAATCTTATTTTTCCTTAACTTCATTTTCAAACACAAATGCAGTAATCTACTGCATACAAGTTCTTCTTACAACTATTCAGTGCTTTGGTTTGTACACTGACTGTGGAAACAATAATAAACTGTTGGACCATTCAATACCAGCAAATTAAAACCAGTCATCGTGTTTTATCCAATTTAATTCTGCGTTGCTGAAGTTTGTTTCACTCTCAGCGCACACTTCGCTAGAGTGTGTCTTGCTTCTCTGAGCAAAACTTCCTAGGCATCTGAAAACTGTTATATGCTTTCATTATGTATGTTTTTACTTTCTATTACTCTTTAAAACAGAATGATCAGTGTCTGATGCAAATAGCAGTCAAACTAGCCTATAGTCATGATTTCAGTAGGATCTAGCCTGTCATTTAGAGCAGTGGGTAGCTTTTTTACAGTATTTGTGGTTTGGCATTGTTATTTTAACTTCTCTGATATAATTTTTTTGACAGAAAATATGAAACATACTCCTTTGCTGCTACTGTACATATAAGATAAACCTTTTACAGCTCTACATTCTAAAAAGTTAAAGCTTATAATGTTTGTATCCTGGGATTCATACCAACATTTTTAAAGATTGGCATCTGCTATTGACCCAGGAAGGGAGGAAGAAATGGGTTTACGTTGCAGCAAGAAAACTTTTGGTTGGACAATTCATGTTTCTGGCTGTACAGATTAATATCTGTGACAGTCAGTGAAGAACGCCTTGTACCAGCACTTGACGGGGCTGGCGGGCTTGGGCCTGCCGCGGGCTTGGGCCTGCCGCGGGCTTGGCACTGCACTCGGTGGCCCTTGCTCAAGCACGTGCAGGTTCCTGCTGTGGGTGGGAAGACAGGGCTGAGAACAAGCGGGGAGGTATGGGCCCTTCTAGGCGCATTTTAAGGGTGCCTATGTCAGAAACATGAGGTTTTGTACGACTTTTGGTTGAAGCTCAGGCTTTACAAAAGGCCACCCTTCCTGTTCTGCAGGGATGTTCACCTACCACAAGGACTCGCAC